AACCCAGGGCCTCCCGCTTGTTAGGCAAACACTCTACAATAAGCCACACCTTCAACTAAGGAGTGGCTTTGGGGCTCTTTACTCTAATAGTGCTTACCCAATGGGTTTGTGTATCTGAAAATTTATGTATTGCTTGACTATGTTAAGAGAAATTACTTGACACTTGGAGACAAGGGGAAAAGATGACTTCCTGTCCTTTTAAAAATCCTGACTGAAGTTTCTTTTAATGGCCTTTAACTCCAGATCCCTGCCTGAGCAAGGTCCAGATCCAGACCTGAGCAAGGATTACTCAGGTCTCTGCAGAAATGAACTGTTGCTGGACTAAGGCCCAGTCACATTAACTTGGATGAGTTGGCCCAGAAGAGATGGGAATGATATCTGCGCAGGAGGTGATAGCCCTAAAGGGAACGACTTAATTATACAGTTTTTGCCTTTCATTTAGCAAACTTATTTCAGTATTCTGTTCCTTTTGAACTCTCTTTTGAACTAGATTTACTTTTACTGCTGTTTCTCTCATGAACACATAACGTTAGCCTATAACATGTGTTCATTCTATATTGAGTCATATATCTATAGACGTATCTGTACATGTAGGTTGGTTGATTTTTGCTTTGTTTTGGTTATTTGAGACAGGATTTCATTTAGCCCAGGCTGGATTTGAGCTTGCTGTGTAGTCAAGGATGGCTTTGGTCTCCTGATCCTTCAGCTTCCATTTCTCAAGTGCTGGAATCACTACCATGCAGGTTTGGGATCATATTTTTTAAAATGATATATTCTCTTCATGAAGGAAACTGGTTTCACAAGATTTCCTAAGTAATTTACCCTTGACTTAAGTTTATCTAATCTTACTTCTCTAGGGAATTAATTTGTAAGAACTGAACCAATGTGAGCTGAAGAGATGGCTCAGCTGTTAAGAGCTACTCTCCCAGAAGACCCAAGTTTGATCCCCAGCACCCACGTGGTAGCTCACAACCATCTATAACTCCAGTTCCAAGGGATCCAATGCCTCTTTGGGGGTTCATGGACACCGGGAATACATAAGGTACACAGACATATATGCAAGCAAAAAGTCATACACAAAAATTCATAAAGAATAATTAAAAAAGAATTTAACCAATGCATGACATGAGATCTCCAAATTATGAGACCCATTTCTGGAAGCATTCTCATAGCTTCATCAAGCTTATTGTCCCAGGAAATAAAGAACAGATAGGTGCTGCCTAGAACAGAGTTCATTCACTAGTTTTGAAATTCAAAGCTGATTTTCTTGATATGTTTTCAGCATGACGCTGAACATAAAACCCAGCCTTTTTTTAAAAAAAAAGATATTTATTTATTTATTTATTATGTATACAGTATTCTGTCTTCATGTGTGTCTACAGACCAGAAGAGGGCACCAGATCTCATTACAGATGGTTGTGAGCCACCATGTGGTTGCTGGGAATTGAACTCAGGACCTCTGGAAGGATAGTCAGTGCTCTTAATCTCTGAGCCATCTCCCCAGCCCCAAACCCAGCCTTTCTCAAATTAAGGCATTTCTAGATTACAAAATTTTCTTTGCAATACTACATGTCTTGTGGGTAGGCTAAAAAGGAGGTAGCCCTTGCTGTAAAGAGGAAAGAAAAGACACTCCTCACCCCTTTCTAGACTCAGTTGTAGGGAAAGAGAGCACAGTCTGGGAGACAAGTCCCAATTTCCAACTGTCCCAATCTCCCTGCTCCAGGCAAGAAGTATGACAGCTGCATTGCTAAGAAGGCATAGGACTGGAGGATGGAGATCTAGATCCTTCTCTTTGGGGAGGGGGGAAGGAGATTATTATTATGGTTTTGGTCCTTTTAAGAGATCTAATCTGCTTTTTATTATAAGGAAGACCTGGGAATGTTATGGTATTGGTCCCTTTAAGAGACAAGCCACGCCCACTCCCTCCCCCATCTGCTGAGGCAGGCTGATCTTCAGCTTCCAGCCTGAGTTCGTGCTTTTCCACCTTCCTCTTGGAGAGGCAGCTTCGCTTCTCTCCCCACTTCTCCGCTTCCCCCTTCTCTGTCTCTTTCTCCTCCTCCTCCTCCTCCTCCTTCTTCTTCTTCTTCTTCTTCTCTCTNCCTCCTCCATAATCCCCTGAATAAACATTCAACCTCACCCTGCATGTCATGTCTATCCATGTCTCTGTCTCCTGCCCGCCCGCCATGTGTCTCCCTGCCTGGGACCAGCCATTGCTCAGGGACCAGCAGCCGCCTCTGCCTGGAGCCCACTGCCTGCTGCCACATGGCCCGCCACCACTGCTCAGGCCACTGCTCTGGGACTGGCAGCCATTTCTGCCTGGGACTGGCTGCTCCCAGAGCCAGCTGCCTGCCACTACATGGCCTGCCACCACCATTTGGGACCTACAGCATTTCTGCTGCCTACTGTCACTGGGGATCTTGCAGCATTTTTTTTAAAAAAGAACAACAATTATCATCTGCAGTTTTCTACCAGGTCATAGAAGCCATCTTCATGACCTACCTGATGCCATCTTGGACAGGTGCAGAGGAAGGAATAGAACTATTCCAGGGCTGAACATTTAACTAAGCCATCCGATTAGACTATTTACCTACAAAGACATTTTAAATCAAGGATCCAATTGAGGTTAATAAATTGGATTCCATCTTATCCACTCCATCCCTCCTTCAACACAGAGGGCAGAAGCATATAAGGACATCAGAAAATAAGGAAAGGAAAAGGCAAGTTGTATTTTCTTCAGACAGCTGAGAGTGTGTCCTGAAGAAATTGAAAATACAGTTCACTGTGTGTGATATATGCTCTCCCATCCTCGTTCTACCTCCGTAAAGGCACTGTTGGCTTCTGATTTCACAAAAATCCAAGTCCTAGTGTGTTTGTGACTTCTGATCTCCATTGGATACATCCATGTGCTTTCTCCAATCCTTGCATCTACCCAGTTAAAGCTGGCCACAGACTGGAGTAGCAAGAGCCAGGAATCTATAGTTCTTCTAATATTTGTTTACTGGGTTCTGAATGTCATTTGTTGTCATTCAACAGATACAGCCTGTTCTTTTCACTTCCTGGCTCCCTTATGTTGGCACTGTACCTAATTGTGGACACTGTATCTATCATAAGTTTAAACTTTAGTTGGAAGCATTTAATTGGTGATACATTATCTTTCATGAGTTCATTTTCTTTCTAGTGCAGCAGCTGCGAAAATCTGACATAGAGGTTGAGCTACAGACTCAGGAATCACTATGGTGGGCAGGACTCCCAGATAAACTCTATAACAGACATACAGTATGAGTGGGAAATCCATCTTTGTTCTTTCGGTTTGGTCTATCATATCTAGGACAGGTGTTTTAAAGAAGTAAAGTGACTGACACAACAAGAATCCCCCTCTGTCTATCTATCTGTCTGTCTGTCTGTCTGTCTGTCTGTCTCTGAAAGCTGGGTCTTACTATATAACCTTGGATAAAACCTGACACTCACTACAAAGACCAGGCTGTCCTGAAACTCACAAGAGCTCAGCCTGGCCTGCCTCTGTTTCTCCAGTGCTGAGATTAAAGGCATGTACCAACATACCCAGCTGAATGGTGCTTTCTCTTAATCCAATGGCTCTCAACCTGTGGGTCTTGACCCCCTTGGTGGGGGTTCAAACAGTCTCTTCATGGGAGTTGCATATCAGATATCCTGAATCTAAGATATTTACATTATTATTCATAACAGCAACCAAATTAGTTATGAAGTATCAACGAAAATAATTTAATGGTTGGGGGTCACCACAACATGAGAAAGTGTATTGAAGGATTGCAGTGTTAGGAAGGTTGAGAACTACTGTCTTACTAGTTCATTTTCTTTTTAAGGAAAAGAAGTAACTACAACTAGGAACATGAAGAAAACAAAATATAAGAAAATTAGATTCATGGAAGGCATTGTAAACATTTTCAAGTATTGTCTGTTTTAAGTCAAATGCCCCTGATCTTTCCTTAAGAAATACTTAAAAATATATATAAACAAAATCAAAATTAATCTAAAAGCTTCCTATGATTCCACTACTTAAAGATAGTCACTTTGGAGAAAAAAAATCCTTTCAAACTTACATGTACATATTATATTAATTACTTTTCCGTTTCTGTGATAAAAACACCAAAACCAAAAGCAATTTAAGGAAATTTATTTCAGTTTACAGTTCTAATGGGATAAAAATCAGTTATGATAGGAAGACATGGCAGCAAGTTGCAGGCATAGCAACAGGAGCAGGAAGCTGAGAGGTCACATCTTCAACCACAAAAAAGCAGAGGAGTGAACTGGAAATGGGACCAGGATATGAACTCTGCAAGACCACCTGTAATGCGTCTTTCTCTGTCCTGCAAGCCAGTTCTCAAACAATGACACAGAGACTTCTTAATTATGAAAGCTCGGCCTTAGCTTAGGCTTGTTTCCAGCTAGCTCTTACAACTTGAATTAACCTATTTCTATCAATCTACATGCTGCCATGTGACTTGTGGCTTTTATCTCTCCTTCTGCATGTTCCTCTGTGTCTGACAACTCCTTCTTCCCAGATTTCTCTCTCTGCCTTGAAGTCCCGCCTCCTGCCCAGCTATTGGCCATTCAGCTTTTATTACACCAAGCACAGCAATACATTTTCACACAGCATACAAATATGCTACAACACCCAACGCAGTGATGCTTTCCTCCAGAAAGACTGTACCTTCCTGTAACCTTCCCCAAACACTAACAACAACTTGTGACAAAATGTTCAAATAACTGAGCCAATGGGAGACATTTCCATTCAATCTATCACATTCTCCTCCCTGGCTTCCACAGGGTTATGATCGTATCATAATGCAAACTGCATTTAATCCAACCTTAAAAAACCCCATAGTCCTTTACAATCTCAATATTTTCCAAAAACCCAAATTCTCTTCTGAGACTCAAGATAATCTCTTAAGTGTAACACCCTGTAAACCCCCCCCCCAAAAAAAAAAGAAAAAAGAAAAGAAAAAGAAAGAATTACTTACTTCCAATATACTATGGCACAAAATATACAATAACATTCCAAAAAGGATGAATGGCGGCATCATGAGAAAATACTGGATCAAAGCAAAACCAAAACAGCAGTGAAATACCAAGTCCTGTACCTTCATGGGTAGTATCTGGGATTTTAGTTTTGAAGCACTTAGATGATGGCTCTGCCCTTATAGCTTCTAACATATAATTTTCTCCAGAACTGCTTGCACTCCCTAAATGCATCACAGTTCTGGCATCTCCATCTTGGTGTCTCCATTGCAAACCAGGCTCCACTTTCACAGCTTCATACAATGGCCTCTCATGGCATCTGCCCTCTCAGGGCCTTCATGCAGGGATGCCCATGCCACTTGCTGCCTGGTCTCAGTGGGTCTCTGCGACCACAAAGGAAGAATCCATGATCTGTCGGGGACTACCCTCAACAAAAATACCACTTGCCAGGGTAGGGGCATGGGAATTTAGAAATATTAGTAAAGAATATGAAGATGCCTGTGAAAATAATAGAACAGAAAAACATACAATAGTACCGGGAGGGCATTCCAGTGAATACAAAAATCGCCCACATTTAATTTCCAATTGCTCAAAAGACCTTGACCCCAAAAGGTAGGAGTAATATATAAAAAAAAAAAAACTGCATTACCTTGAAACAAGGAATCCAACAGACCAGTTGGAGGTTGCGGGCTACATTCCCCGAGTTAAACCTTCTGTTGCTAGAACAAAACAAGTCAAGCTCACACCCTAGACCAAAACATTCTGTAGGCAAATGACTCCCTGGGTGGAATCCAAAGTTATCTCTTTAAGGGAACTGGAACTTAGTTAGAACCTTAGCCTTTTGTTTGAGGTAGAAACATTTACTCTATTTACTGGAGTACAAGGTCTGGGTATTAGCCACACCTGTTGACAACAGCCTTGAAAGAGCAGACCTCCCTGACCTGAATCTAGGTGGGACCTTAGTTTGAGGTAGAAACACAATAACCTTGAAGGAGTAGCTGTAAGTTCCAACTCTCTGACCTTTGGACAACGCAGGGAAAAGGGCTCACGTTTTTGGGCCTCCACGACGATCCTTTTACACAAGCATCCTTTGTTTCACTGCAGGAGGCCTCTCCTTACCTGTGTTAGTTAATACCCTTAACAGTTACAGCCCCATTTGCAGCACGTTCTTTTCTAGACCACGTCTACTCTTCTTTTTCCCCTCCAAACTGTATATTTTGCATTTTTCTGCCCCACTTGCTAATTCATTGTGGACTTGCATATGTATTATTACTAATAACTACACCACAGATTCAAACCACCACATAGGTGTAGACAGTCTTTTTTTTTTTGCTTTTAAAACATTTTGAAAAATCCATTAGCCTTCCAAACCATTAAGTCTGTTTTTTACTAAACTTTTTAAATTTATTTTTTGTGTCTTTCACATAATGCATTCCCATTCATTTCCTGTCCCTTCACATCTGCCCTTTGACCTTGCAACACTCCCCCCAAATAAAATAAAATAAAATAAAATAAAAAGAGAAAAAAGGGGAAAAAATCTCATCATGGAAGCTGTAGTGTGACATAGTGAGTCACACAGTAAACCTTTTTATCTTGAAAGTGTTCACTGCAGAGAGTCATTGAGACATTGGCCTGGTTTGGTGCATCTGGTTTCTGCTACACTATCGGTTTTGGGCCCTCAGTGTGACTCCTCTTGGATAACCTGTTGTTGCCCTGTGTCAGGAAAATCCTGTAGTGATGATTAATAAAAACTCAGAAGGTCAGAAAAGCAGAACAGCCAGCCACTGGCTCTTACCTCTACTTCAGTCTGATGACAATCCTGCCTTTAAGAATCTCAGAATGAGACTGTGTCTGAAAGCTGTTTCCTACCGTTTTATAATCCTCTCCAGGGCTGGGATTAAAGGGTTGCACCACTGGAATTAAAGGCAGGCTCTGCCCAGTTTCTATGGCAACAAGTGTGGCTACTGGGATTAAAGATGTGTTACCACTGACAGGTCTGTAAGGCTGACCAGTGGGGCTGTGTTACTCTTTGATCTTCAGGCAAGCTTTATTTATTAAAATACAAATGAAATTCCACTACACTACACTTTTGGCTCTGCAGCACCAGCCGCTTCATGTGCTCCAGTATAGCATATAGATGGGGTGGATATTGGGGCGGGTGAACTCATAGCTCTGGTTCTGGGTCTGGGTAGTTGCAGGACCGTTGCCCTGGTTAGTTGAACCCTGGCAGCTTTGAGCAAGGGGAGGGGCCAGTTCTCCCGCTTTCATGCCCTCAGGGTCAGTTCTCCCACACTTACATCCTCAGGGCCAGCTTTCCTATGTTGCCCAGGTGTGGTGTAAGGGCCACTCTCTCGAGTTCCCCAGCTGGTGATGGGCAAGGGACAGCTCTTCCCCTTTTATGACCTCAGGACAGCTCTCCCATCTGCTATAGGTGGTGAGGGGTGGGGGTGGGGGTGGGATGAGAAGGGCATCTCTCCCCTGCCCACACCACCATAGGGCAGATGAGGGGCAGGGCCAGATCTCCCATGCTTGCATTTTCAGAGTAGTTCACCTGTCCTCCCATCAGTAAGGTCAGCTCTAGTGTGCTACCCAGGCAAGGTACAGGGTCCACTTTCCCAAGTGCTGGTATGGGGGAGGGTCAGCTCCCTTGCCAACCACGGGTGGCAGGGTAAGGGGAGATGGGATCTTTCCCTCACTCTCAACCACCACATGACCAACGAGGGGGGTGTGGCCAGCTCTCCCCACTCTCACACCCTCAGGGCCAGCTCACTCACTCCTCTGCCAATAGGGTCAGCTCTACTGTGTCAGGTATTGGGCAAGGTGCAGGGCCTGCTCCCCCGAGTGCTGCAGCTGGTGAGGGGCCGGAGCAGGTCTCCTGTCCTGATGACGTCAGGGCCAGATCTCCCACCTGCCTCAGGCATACAGCTCAGCTGCCCCCCCACCCCTGGCAATAGGGTAAGTTCCATTGTGCTGCCTGGAGGGGGTGCAGGGCCTGCTTTCCTGCATGTTGCAGCTGGTAAAGGGGAGGGTTAGCTACCTTGCCAGCTGGAAGAAAGAGGGGCAATGGGGAAGGGCATCTTTCCCTCTCCCCAACCACCACATGAGGGCGGTGGTAGCAGCTATGCCCTTCTCATGCCCTCGGGAATGGCTCACCCTAACCCCTGACTATAGGGTTAACTCCACTGTGCTGCCTAGGCAAGGAGCAGGACCCATTTTCCCACATGCTGCAGCTAGTGAGGGGTTGGGTCAGGTCCCCCACCTGCTCCAGGTGTTGAGGGATGAGAGGAGGAGGGCGTCTTTCTCCCACCCACGCCACCACATGGCAGACTAAAGCGGTGCGACCCTCTCTCCCCTTTTCCCACCCTTAGGGCCAGTTCACCCTTGTCCCTGTGAACACGGTGTAGGACCCTCTCTCCTGCGTGCTTCAGCTGCTGAGGGCAAGACCAGTTCTCCCTAGTGTTTTAGCCAGTGAGGGGTGGGGCCAACTCTGTACAGCCCTATCTTTTTAGCCTTTGGTGGTATTTGTAGCCGTGAACATCAACACGTGGCTGCATCAGGACCATGAACCCATACAGGGGCCCCAGCAGCAGCCCACGCCCAGATGTCACCATGGCAACCCACCTCAGCCTGCTCCTTACCACTTTCACCTCTTCAGATATGCCTCTGTCCATGAGAAAGGAACCATTATGCTCTCCCATTCCACTGAAGCACAATTCTAATGAGTCTTAACAATAAAAACCTGGGATCAGATAGTAGGGTGAACGCTGAAAGATCAGAGAAGCACAGCAGCCAGCCACTAGAGACCCCCTACCTCTACTAAATCTCAGAGTAATGCTGACTCCTGTCTATAAATCCTCAGGCTAAATGGGGAGGATCTTGTCTCTACGAATCCCGAATGGGGCACTGAGATTCTGCCTCCACGTACCTTATATTCCTGTCTTCCCTCTCCCGATTGTGCTGGGATCAAAGGCATGATCCTCCCAAGTGGTGGGATTAAAGGTGTGAGCCTCCACCACCCGCTCTGCCTCTCTTTTCAGTTGGTTCAATCTCAAGCCACGGGTAGCCTTGAACTCCTGATCTTCCTGCTTCCTCCTCCCAAGTGCTGGGAGTAAAGGTGTGTGCCACCACTGCCTGACCTCTATGGTTAACTAGTGGCTAGCTCCGCTCTCTGATCTCCAGGCAAGCTTTATTTGTCAGAACACAAAATATCACACAACGTACCACACCATACATTAACTCACCATAATCGTGCCTGTTTGCCCTGCATTGGCAGGCAGTTGTTTTCTTTACCCCAGGGACTGTGTGTGGGTCTCTTTGTTCCTTTGAGTCCACCACGGCATTGGGCAGGAACACCATGTAGACAGTCTTAACACTTCCTTTTTCTTTTTCTCTTTCTTTCTTTCTTTCTTTCTTTCTTTCTTTCTTTCTTTCTTTCTTTCTTTCTTTCTTAAAGCAAGGCAGGGTTTCACTGTGTGTCTCTGGCTGTCCTGGAACTCACTCTATAGACCAGGCTGGCCTTGAATTCACAGATATTTGCCTGCTTCTGCCTCCTTAGTGCTGGGATTAAAGGTGTGTGCTGCCACCACCTGGCTCCTTTTTCCCCCAATGGACTTCTTATTGTACCCACTTGCTTTTCTATTTTCTTGTAATGCTGAAAATGCAACCCATGGTCACAAGCATGTTGAGCAAACACTGTATCACTGAAGCACATTGCCAGCGCAAATCTGCTTTTTTTTTTCCTTTTTCCATTTTGATGTATGTGTACATCTGTGCATACATGCTTGCATGCATATGGGTGTGCTTGCATTGTAGGCCCCAGGAGATGTTCGGAATCACCCGCCGTTTCACTTCCACTGTATGTGCTGAAGGAGGTATCTCCTTTCACTACAGAGCTTGCTGATACAGCTACTCTTGTTAGCTAGATTATGCTGGGGAATCTCCTGTCTCTGAGGCTGGGCTTACAGGTGAGCTACTACACCCAACTGCCATTTACATGACTTCTGGAGATCCGAACTCCAGGCCTCACACTTTTGAGGCAAACACTTTCATGTCTTTCTGTGTTCAGGTCTGGGGCAAGTGGTCACCACAGCTGTGTTCATAAGTGCAATAGTCATACCGTACCTAGAC